GGTGGATTGGCCATAGTGCCCAGGGATGTTTAGGTTAGGTGGGTTAGACATGGGGAATTAGGGGAATGGGTCTGGGTGGGATGCTCTTCGGAGGGGCGGTGTGGACTTGTTGGGCCGAATGGCCTGTTCCCACACTGTAGGGATTCTATGTTTCAATGATCTATGAGGTGTACATGCTCACAGTTCAAAAGTAATTAATAAATGTTGGCCTAGCCAGTGAAGCATACATCCTCTGAATCAATAAAAAGAAAATCAGAAGTAGGGAAAATGCTCTGATCTTTTTTAAAGGATATAATAAATATGACCTAATTGGACATAGTCAGCTTGGATTTGTGAATGGGAAATCATATTTGATTAATCCATTGGAACCTTTGCGCTTGTTATTAACAGAACTGATAAAGGGGTTGGTGGCCATAGTCCATTTGGATTTTCAGAAGGTTTCGTTAAAATCCCCTGCAGGAGGTTGGTTAGCAAAATTAAAGTACATGGGATTGGTGATAATGTACTGGCATGGATTAAGGATTGGAAAAAAGGCAAAACTGTAGACAAATGAATGCGTCATTCTCACATTGACAGACTGAGAATAGTGGGGTATCACAAGGATCAGTACTTGGGTCCCAGCTATTCAGAATATATATCAATGATTTGGTCGTGGGACCAAATCTGATATATCCAATTTTGTGGATGGTACAAAGCTAGGTGAGAGTGTGTAGTATGAAGATGATGCAAAGCTGTTTCAAAAGGATTTGAACAGGCTTAGTGAGTGGGCAAGAACATAGCAGCAAATATCTAATATGGAAAAATGTGAGGTTATCCACTTTGGTAAAAGGAACTAGAGATGTGAAGAATGAGATGAGATCTCACTGAAACTTACCAAATGCTTGAATAGATAGGAAGGGTACATGCAGAGAAGATGTTTACCTGGTTGGGCAATTCAGCACTATAAGACAGAGGAGCAGAAGTAGGCCATTTAGCCCATCAAGTCTGCCCCTCCAGTCAATGATATCATGGCTGATCAGATAATCCTCAATGCCAGGTCCTTTTCCCTACAACCCTTGATTCTCTTTCTGATTAAATATCTCTCTCAGCCTGGAATATAATTAATGCCTCAACAGCCCTCTGTGGTTAAAAAAAATTCCACCTGCTTGTTCATATTACATGTTGCTAAATGTTCTGCTATGACATTCTTTATGATAGACTCTAACATTTTTATAATAACCAACGTTAAGTTAACTGGCCTGTCACGACCTTTTAGTGTGTCCTTCCCTTTTTTAAATAACAGGTGTTAAATTGGCAGTTTTCCAATCTTCTGCAACTTCTCTAGAATCTAAGGATTCCTGGAAGATTACTACCAGCGTATCCATATCTCTGTAGCTACTTCTTTTAATATCCCAGGATGCATCCTTTCAAATCAAGGGGTCTATTGATCTTCAAGCCCATTAGGTTCTCTAATACTTCTTCTCCAGTGGTAATTATTGTATTTATTTCCTCTTCTCCTTTTACCCCTTGATTATTTAGCAATTTTGGGGCGTTATTAATGTCTTCTACTGTGAAGACTGGTGCAAATTACTTGTTCAACTCTTCTGCCATTTCCTGGCTCTCCTTTATTATTTCCCCAGCCTCACTCTCTAAGGGGCTAACATTAACTTTGGGAGCGCAATTTAAAAGCAAGAGGGATGCCACTTGGTCTGAGATGAAGAGAAGCTTGTTTTGAGTTCAGTCATGGAGTAGGTTTAAACTAAACATTGACAGATTTCTGATTACTGGTGGCATACAGGGTTGAGGGGTTGAGGTAAATGTTCAATCAGCCATGATCGTATCAAATGACACAGCAGGCTAGATGGGCTGAATTGCCTTCTCTTGTTCTTATGTTTCTATATTCCTATGAGTGAGGGCTTAGGAGAGAGGGAAAATGAGGAAGGGAGCAAAAGGGGCTATGTGATGGAGGATCAGTGAGGACGGTGGCAAGGGGGAGGTTCAGTGAGGGAGCAGATGGCGAGCAATGTTTTCATTGGCTGCTCACAGTAATGGAGCCAATGAAGGAAACAGGAGGCAGAAAGAAAGCAGAGCCTGAGACTGAGATTGGTCCAACTAATGTTCTGGAGTCACCGCCAAAGGCTTTGGGAGTATGTCTCCTCGTTGTTTAGTTTTAGGGAATCAGGCATTGTGCATTATTTAGCCTGAGTGACAGTTTTTGGCATCAGAGACTTACATCAGAGAATGTTGACTGCTAATTCCACCTGATAAATCATGTCAAGTTTTATTCTTGTCCATTCATGGGGAAGTCTACCAGGACTGTGGTAATGGTCCACAGTGGCAGTAACACTCATTTAATCATTAAGCTGTGGATCTCAGTCCAGTTGCGAGGGATTACTGTTCAGCATGTAGAAATGGTGCTGACACCATTTTTTAAAAAATCTGCAGCTCGTAAGATGATATTGTACTCAAGTACTCTTAGGGCATTGGGTATGTGAAGAAAGAAAATGAGAAGAACACTATCCTTGAATTTAGCAAATATTGTCCCCACTCTGCCTATTTATCCTATGTCTTGGCTTCTTTCAGTGCACTGATGCCCTTTATGGTATACTGCTGTCCTACTGGATATGTGTTCTATGTGTACTTTATCCTGAAAGTAAAGAAGCAGTGTTGAATATAGGAAATTGTTAGATGCAAAGTGTAAGATGATGTTAAAAGCGGTGTAAGAATAGCAAACTGCTGGGCAGAGGGGCTGTTCATAACCCTTCACAGTTAGAGAATAAGCTATCTGTCGTGAGCATACATCATGCAGCTAGATTTTACTTGAAGGGATTTATCAGTGAAAACCTTCTAACTCGTCAGTATGTCAAGACTTTCAAGTAGCAAATACAATGTGTACCATGTAGCAGAATGGACATGCATAGCAAGCATTCAAAATGCTACAGGAAAGTCTCTGTGGGATGAAATAGTACATGGCATGCAAACTACGCTGGTTTCCTGACAGCAGCAGTTAATTTTCTCAAGTTTCGATTTTTTTCATGGATGGAGTCAAATCCTCTGAACAATAAAAACAGCACTGACAAAGAGAGTTAGTTCCTTCCGAAAATTCTGGGGAACAGAATGCCTGATAGAGCTAAACAGGTTAGTTAGTGAAAAACCTCTTCATGTTGCACTTCCACTGCTGCATCAAGAAATCTTTTACTCCAACAATCTGTTGATCCATTCTTGCAGCGTGTGTAACATGACGGAAAATGGCTTTCCACTAAGAGCTGCTGTACATGTTAAAACAGAAGCAGACATTTTGCCCTCTAATTGCAAAAGACTGGTGAATTACACACTTAAGCTCAGTCTGAATGGCAACTGAGACCTGACAAGAAGATTTGTTGGGATTTCTCCATGTATACGCTACACAGACACAACATTCCCACTATAATGTTCCTTTCCGGTTCATATCCATAATAGAAATCTTAGTTTAATTGTAAACTTGTGTAGAATAAAATAAGCTACTCAGCTAAAATAGGATACAATTCCTTGAAAATAAGCTTTCATAGTGGTATGAATACACAAATGAATTGCTTCCTTCGATTCTGGCATTTGCTTATGAGCAAAAGTCAAAGAAGCAATAGTTTTTACATTGACATTGCACATGACTGTGTACTCATTCTCCACAAAAGTGAGGAATACATGACATTAAATTCAAATTAATAGTATATAGAGAAAAAGAGTCTATTGGTATTAATAACATGAAAAGGAAAACCAATTATTATTGCAATAATCTGAAAAGTTCAAAACAATTTTATGTACATGTATATAAGATGTACATTTTATGATATGAAGGACACGTGACCATACAACATATTTCAGAAAATATCAAGATACAAATGTATTTTAGTATTGTGTTGCTCTCTCTACATAATGTCTATTCATGTGATATTTTTTCCAGGTTTTCAAAATATTGTAAGCATTCTTTCATCAAACATGTATATGAATAATCATGCAGCATTGAGCTAAGGGTGAGTGATGTGGTAGCGAATGGAATACTTAGTTTGATCATCAGTTTTACCATCTAACACTCCAACCGATGTCAGATGAAGCCCTATTTACACAACCAGCTACTTTTTTCCTCATATATGTCACTGTTGATTAACTTTGCCCACCAAGTCACACATCAGAGAATCCTGAATGCCCTGTCCATGATTGTCCAGTTATGTCTTGTGATATTTGAGGAATCTCACTCTCAGTTTTCAGAAAGGTATACCACATAATTTCAACTTCACTCACAAGTTACTGTTACTTTACAATGATGCTACATTTGCGGCGTTATCTCAAGATCGTAAACCAGTCTGACTCCAGAGAAAATTGGTGCGAGACCTCTTGGAGGAGAATAGCTCATCACTGCTTCAGTTTGTTCCTCCATAGAGTGCTCCAGTCTCAAGTCAAATCAAAACATAAAAATATCTGCAGTTGATTCTGAAAATCTTCTGGACACTTCAAAACCTAACAAAAGTTAAATTCAAGTTAATACTAGATGTTTCTAAGTGTTTCACATGCTTGCATGGCACTTGGCTTATGCACCCAGGCACATACAAAGTTCTTTCCTGACCGGGGAATCAATGCTCCAGCCAAGTAGAATTAATGGAATACTGCCTCCACAGAATCCATGCTGTCATAGCTGTTCTCAGAGTTGTAGCTACAGTAGTAAAAGCAGCATTTGATGAAGTGTTGCATGAATTATTCTCTCCACAAACCATCTACAACCTTTGTGTCAAGTTGTCAATTTAATATCAGTGACTGCTGTTCTATAGCTTTTTGTTTCTTTTCGCAGTGGATGTCCATCATTAATAATCCACTTATTTCATAAGAGTCCTTCCAGTCACTAAACAGGACACATTTTCATCACTAATGCAGAGCTGGATTTCAGAACAATAAGTTACATGTCAAATTATGTTCATGGAAATAACACAACTGCAGCTTTTCATCTTAACCAATTGAAAAACACTTCTTACTTTAAACTGGGAACCTACCTTACTGGCTCCAGGGAGTAAATGTAATTTGACATATGGATCAGCAAGTCCGTTGTGGTCCATTGGCTTAAGGCCCTTTGGGAAACAAAAAAGAATACTTACTGTAATTATTGATGATTACATCCACGAACACATCTGGTGAATCAATAACTAATAGTTACTGTCCCAAAACAACTTCCCTTACATTAATATTTTTACACCACTTTTTACAAGACATGCATGACTGTGTAGATCTTAACAACTAGGCTGGAGAAGATAAATGAACTTCAAGCAGCATATTGCTTTTGAACACTGCCTCTACATTAAAATTCACTGAATTGTGGGATATCAACCATAAAATGATACAGTGTCGGACCTGCTGACCATGTCTAAAGAATGTACAAATGGAGAAAGACTACACAACATTACCATTGTGCTAATCCGAATGCAACATTCGTCCTACCTTTATTGCCAGAATTTCAGAAACACAATTAAACGTAAGACTCATGTTGACTGCTGGTTATCAAAGTAAAGCTCATATATTCTACATAAAGAAAACTAATTGCATAATTTACTGGGCAAACATATCTGTAGCCTTTGGGCAATGGCAAATATGTAATTCCAAACAAGTGTAAAATACTTCAGAAATCCTTCTGAAAGAGCTAAAATTCAAAACAGATTTTCTCAACATATTAATTAGAATGCTACTTTGGTTTATCAATCTTACTTTTACTAACTATATGTTCCACTCAGTAACTTTTATGTGCAGAATTATTATTGTAATGAAAATTTAATCTAAATAGTTATGCAATGTGTTCTTACAATAAACTTCCCAATTTAGTTGTGTTTTGTGAAATTGCAGTCAACGATTGTGGAATACACACTCTACAAAGAAAAAGATTCAAGTCTTGCTGGCTATACACATTCTGAAGGCTACCAGAATTCTACTAAATGATTGAATTTTATTTTGTCATTCATGTAAAATATCCCGCGTTGCGTTGTGTTATAGTAAGATTTTATGGCGTTCTCACAATATTGGCTCCCCACTAATGCATGGAACCTAAGATCATTGGGGTTTGCCCTTGCTGGACACAGAGATCTTTTAAATAAGCAACAGCATGAGGTTGGTTTGTCCTGCATTGCAGTCAACTAGCAAAGGTTAATTGTGCCTTGTGCTGTCCATGCCCTGATTCGAGGGTTCTCAATTTTACCACCTGAATGAATATTCAAAGCTTGAAATTTGTTTGTGACGAATGAACTAATATCAGCGTGGGAGGACAAAAACAGAGCTTGAAAATCAGTCTAAGTTTCCTGCTTTGATTGTTCTATAGCCATTCCATTTTGGAATGAGAAGGCATATGGGATGCTTATTAAGGACAGGAGTTCGCTTCCCTCTGGTGATCCTCAGTTCATGTACCAAGTTTGCCGGTTTAACTGCTGAGAGTGCCCAGTGGAACACAAGTAAGTAAGAAGGATAGAAGGGAAGACCAGTAAAAATGACAATCACAAAATTAGTATAACGAGCAGGTGGAAATTTCAAAAGCAAACAGCAATGAAGATCATTTTTGACAATATGTATTATTCATGATACAACAGGGTCTGAAGAGTACGATTTCCATTCGTTGGCAGGACATTTTTAACTCATTGCAATTCAATTACAGCAACAACAGAAACGTCACCAATTCTCAGTCTAACAAATGAACAAGAAACAGTTTGTGCAAGCTGGCTGAATGTAGAAGGAGCAATTGCATTTCACGTCCATGGGTACATCGATTAAACTATTTAAGTTTGAATAATTTCAGCAACATTAAATTTGTCAACATTTTAGTTACTGTTTCAGTTAGGTTCCACCATTTGGGATACATTTCAATCACATTTGCCATCATTAACGAGTCACATAACTCAAATCACCTTGAAGAGTATTGAAACAGTTAATGTACAACTGAGAAGTCACATTATTGATACTACAGCAATATTGCTGTTGGGAACATTGTAATATATAAACGAGGTGGCTCTGTTAGCTGCAATGGCAGAATACTTTCTGCAGATTGTTTCTCTGTGCTGCATTTGAAGTTGAGTAATGCTGGTGACAAGCAAAGCTACAACCAAAGTCTGAATCTGTATCCTGGCCTTTAAGGACTTTCATCACCTTTGGAAATGGCATCCGATCAAAAATTTAACTTACTGAATGTAACATTCAAATGCACAGGTCAACTAAACTCAAGTTGCAGCCAGTGCACTGAAATTTGCACCACAATTTAGAAGGAAAACTGTGGTGTTAATGGGGATTAAGTTATTATTAAAAGTAATGTCAACCACTGCATTGAAAGGAAAACTTCAGCCTTCATAAATGCTCCTCCATTATTTAGTCTCTGGCACTGTAATCATTACTCCCACACAAGCATATTTCCAAACAAATGTTTCCCACTGCTATGCATTGAAAGCAACCATTTAGCGCATTGAAGAGATTGTTAGCTTTCTTTTCTCACCAATTATGTCGCTCATTACCGCTGAGAGAACAACATACCTGAGCCCTTTAATTGAAAGATTTCAGAAAAAGAGGCTGTTACCACTGAGGAATGGAAAAGGAATTCCTTTTATTAACAGGCAAAAGAGAAACACAAACTAAATGTACTGAGTGCTTGGATTTCAATATGAATTAAGTCACCAGTGAGCAGATGGAAAATAATATATTTATTTAAAAATGCTGCTTAAAACATCGTGACCTTCAGAGAGGATAAAATCAAGATGCCTGGGTGGTCAAACAGCATAACTCACATGCAAAGGATGGCCAGTTGGGATAAATACTATGGGCCGTCAAAGTTTGTGGAGCAAGACCCTCACGTTAAAAACCTTCCAAAAACAGACTGAAGGTTGGGGAAACAAAAAAAAAATGAATGGAAGCAGTAAAAAATCTTGTTAGTGAGCATGAAACGTTTCATAACACTATCTCAGTCCCCAAAGTATGGCATCTCCCTATTTGTTAATGAGTGTGACTTGAAAAATTTGCTTTCAACGCATATCAACTTCTTTATTTAGTATTAGCAAATGAAGGGAAAGATATCTCAGTGTCTTCCATGAATGAACCACTTATATCAAGGCATATCTTTTTTTCAGTTATTCAAAGATTGCATTCATTGCACTCTGTGAGTGCAAAAGATGAGAGGTGCACCGGACAAGAATATGACAAAAATGACCAAGTCCATTTGTGCTGAAATTCAATCCAAGCAGGAAACATTAACCAGACCACAACAAATTCTTAAATTAAATTTTAAACTTGATAGAAGATCTGGGAAAACTCAGCAACACGTGGTGGGTGTATAGGTGGATCATGGTCACCATTTTTGCATTGGGAACAGACACCCTGAAATTCAAAACAAATAAAACAAGTAGTTAAATTTCCTCTGCTTTGGGTCAGGGAATTCTCAGTACCTGCATGAAAAGAGAAGGACCCAATGTCCAAGGCCCATAGTTGTGGATCTCTTAATGTTGCCGGATATTTCATGACAATTCGCCAAGGTTGGGAATGATTTATTGACAGAATGATGACCCTCCAAAGAGGAATGGCCATATTTCCAATCTCATTTTTCTCACTCAATGAGTAAAATAATCCATTTTCAGAATTCCGAAAGGAATGGACCTTAGAACATCTTCTCATCCTCCTTCTGTTGGCAAGATCAGCCAAGGATCAATAAAGAGAGATTGTTGCAAAACAAAAACTGTGTTACTTCCTGACACTCGTAGGTTTGCATAAACCTGAGGCAAAATTGTTTTCAGATGAGCTGATGGTTTCTGTGAGTTGTAATCACAGATATTTGCTTGTTGTTTATAACCATGCCAAGTTAGCTTTAAAATATGCTCAAAGGAATTTTCATCCATGGCAGAAACCTGTCAGTCTCCTGTGAAGCTTTATTTTCTTCAAGATTAGTAGTAGCTGCTTTTGAGATAAGGCAGATGTTCCCGCTGCGTGTACAGTTATTGGCTTTACTGAAGTGCTTTCTCACTGCATTTGCGGAGCAGCCTGTGTCTGGAAATGTATTAGCGAGTGGAATTTCAATCACAATAGTTAAAAAAAATTGCACTGAATTTCTCATGTTTAGGATTTTATTAAGTCTGTCAGGTATGATGCATTCTACTGGGAGATGGATTAGGGCAGCAAATTATGTCCTATAAATTTCAATAGAAGTTCTCAATTTGTTTACGCACTCACGATGGGAGATCAATTAGTTACTGTGTGGCAACTCGGGTAAATATCCGTATGACTCCCATTAGAGTGGCAAACACCCACAGGGAAATGTCAAGAGTTACACTAGTAACCTGTAAGAATAGATCGGAAACTTTAGAATGAAAAATTGTTATGCTATTGCTGCTGACATATAGGAAAAGAATGATTTGCACATTCAAATGAGTTTTGGGGCACTATATTCCCAATCATTAAAATAATAGAAGGTTGTTTTGGTGGCACAAAACATTTGCTTGCTTAAAGCTGAAACAGTAATTTCTAGTTTCATGTCAGAAATCATTTGAAATACATTGCAGTTTGATCAGTACCTAAAAGAAGAAAAGGTTCAAGTTTGGTCATCAGACTCTAGATGAAAGGTGTTTTATCGTGCAAGCTACCAACTCCTACTTCTCCCTTCTGCAATGATTTAAAATTAAAGTTATCAGTGTCAGCTAATTACATCATTAACTAAATTAATATAATCCTCTGCTTGCGGCTCGATTGTCATGGGGTTAAATTCTAAGGTAGATATTAATGAGTTAACATTATCTCTCACATATCATTACTGCTCAGGATTATTATAGGTGAATGGAGGGCTTTTATGGTGCAGTGGTAGTGTCCCTACCCCTGGACCAAGAGACTGGGTTCAAGTTCCACCTGCTCCAGAGATCTGTAATGATATCTCTCAACAAGTTGATTAGAAAAATAGGTTAGATTAAAAAAAAGTTATACGTGTATCTGAGGGAACATTTCATAAATTACTGACATGATGGTCCACAGTTAGATTTAATCTTCCTCTAAAGGTGGATATTTTTAAAGAATTGTCTGAGAGGTAGTAGGATCAGGCACTTGAATGGTCATTCTCCAGTCTCGG